ATGCAGAAACTAGAATGGAAGTTTAAAACGGTGACTTACTTGGAAAATCTCAACTTTAAATGGAAATTTTTTGACTTCATTTTTAGCAATAGGGGTCATTTTGCTTTGCAAGATTAGCATCAGCCCCTGTATATTTTCTCTATTTAGAATCTGACCAAAAATATGTCGAACAGTTTGTGTTTTGACTTCGTCAGTTCCCAAGAACAAAACCAGCATCTGCATAATATTTTTGAAAATAATGTCAGGATGCTTTAACCATTATATAATTTACTCTGGACATGCCAAACAGCCAACACAAATTTTTTTGATATTTAAGTATTTAACACATTCAAACAACAATAAGAACGGTGGAAGGGCAAGAAAAATATTTGTTTCCTTTGGAGAAACTAAAATTATTAATGAACTCGTGTTTATCTAAAAACATAAAGAGGTAAAATAGTATTTGCTAATAAAAAAGGCACCTTTTTGGAGGGTTTGGAACGGAGAGGAAAGTCAAAACGTAGTCGTTCTATGTCAGGTTTGTCTCCAAAAATCGAACGGAACTCAGCCAGTGAGCGACTGAGTTGAGAGGAGGGAATGTCATAGCCTCGGTCATTAAGCATCTCTAAAACGGTGCGTAGAGACAAGTAGTACCGATAACTTTCTAAGGCGCGGGTGTCGACCTTCCTCCCCATGCAGTAACCATATTCCTTCTTGTTGTTAGGGGCGGCCATTTTACTCGCTACTTGCACGAGGGAACCTCGAGAGAAGAGAAGGTGGTGGTTGCGCTGTGGGTGTAGAGGTTTATGAGTCTTCTGACTTTCTTGGTTAAATTAACCGAAAAAAAAAAAGCCAAAAGACTTTTTTACCCTTTCTCTCTCAAAGAGGCCTGGACGGCGTTCGAGCTTTGGCTGTTTACTGACTTTTTCGGGCCTATCCTCTCCTTGAGTCGAGGCCTCGTTAAAAATATATGGTTAGAAATTCTTCCAATTTAATCCTTTTTTTTTCTTGAATTAAAAAAAAAAAAATCTTTTATTTCTTAAGGGCTACTTTGATATCAATAATGATTTGCTAACAACTGAATCATAAAGATAGATAAAAGTTGTACAAAATTTATGTAAAATAACTACTTTGTCTATTGTTTTTTGTCTGATTGTACTATTCGATTGTATGACTCAATTGTAAACATAACATTGATCCTTTAATATTAGAACAGCACTAATTTATAACATTTTCATACAATCTTAATGTGACAACTCGTAATTGATCAATTTGCAATAGGTCTTGTCTGCCCAAATATAAACTAACAAATCATGAGCTGCCATCTTATGATTGTATGAAAAAAGTTGTATGAAAAGGTTATAAGTATAGTTTTATTGTTAATATTATTGTTTCCTCATTATATATAATTAGTGATAAAATTTAATTATCTATATTCTTACTTTTATAATAAAATATTGTTACTTAAGATTATTTTCTAATTAAATGTAAATCAAATTTTGTTTAAACTCTTTTTATTGTAGAATTGTGAATTTTCATTCTCTTCTATGAAGAATAATAAAAGAAAACAATTACAGTCTCTTATTTTTTAATTTTTTTCTTTCACAATATTATTTTCAACAAAGCTACGGACATCGGCACTTTTACACCGAAAATGTGTACTGGCCTATGTGTACTCTTGACTCACACCTGACTCACACCAACTGTTGCCAGCAATTCAGACGCGTCATTAAACAATAAATATTTTTCTAGTGAACGGTCATCTATCAAATATGGACGGCCGTTCACTTACATGGACTCCCATTCATATTATATGGACGGGAGTCCATTAGCTATGGACGGGCGTCCCCATTTAAAGGACGCCCGTCCATAAGTAAAATGGATTAATTTTTTTTTATAAAAATTTGGAACGACCGTTCATAGGTTATGGACGGCTGTCCCTAAATATTGGACGGGCATTCATATTTTAATGGACGTCCGTCCATTAACAGTTCTTTTTAAAAAAATTTACGGATGACCGTTCATCTGTTATGGACAGCCGTCCATTCATTTTGGACGGGTGCCCGCAAATAAGGGACGCCTGTCCTTAACCAAAATATGAAAATTTAAAAAAAAAAAAATTTGGGGACGCTCGTCCACGAATTGTGGACGACCGTCTCTTATTTTTGTACGGGCGTCCGCAAGAAATGGATGCCCGTCCATTATTTTGGTTTTTAAAAACTAAAGAAAAAATTTGGAAGGAATGGACGCTCGTCCATTACTTACGCTTTTTAAAATAAAAGAAAAAATTTGGATGGCCGCCCGCAAATAAGGGACACCCGTCCTTAACCAAAACATGAAAATAAAAAAAAAAAATAAAAAAAACTTTGGGGACGCCCATCCACGAATTGTGGACGGCCGTCCCTTACTTTTGGACAGGCGTCCGTAAGAAATGGACGCCCGTCCATTATTTTGGTTTTTAAAAACTAAAGAAAAAATTTGGATGGTCGTCCACAATTGGCGTCCATAAGGAATGGACGCCTGTCCATTACTTATGTTTTTTAAAATAAAAGAAAAAATTTGGACAGTCGTCCATAACCTGTGGACGGCCGTCCCTTAAGTGTGGACGGGCGTCCGTAAGTAATGGACGCCCGTCCACTATGTATGGACGCCCGTCCACACTTTAATGAAATGTTTTTTAAATAATTTTTTTTTTATTTGCGAAATAACATTAGCTTCTCCAATACGCTTCTCCACAAACCAGCGCCAAAATTCTTCGTTGCTGTCTGTTCTTGGCGTCTGCGTTGCATCTGCATTTCTCAGCCATTTCTTCCTGAACAACCGTTTTTTCCTCATTTTCCAGCTACCGCGACAAGAACGAAAGTATAAACTTTTCATCAAACATTTTTTCACGGTGAAAAGGGAGATAAAAAGATCAAACTTTGTCCAGATTAGAAAGATTTGTTGAGGTTGTTAACCGATTTTTATTTAACTTATGTATTTATTTAGTTTTGTATTCTATTTTGGATTGAATATATGTTACAATAGAAAAAAACTGATAGAGAAAATTTGTTGGTGATTGTTATGAATCAGATTCGTGAACGCGAACACTAGTATTGGTTTTGCATTAAATTACAGAATATGGAAGAGTCCAGTTTGCCTCATTTCAATGATGTTAAGNGGATAAAATCAATTCAAACAAACGGGTAGGGTTTTGACTTCATTCGGACTCTATGGGTTAAACCTAAAGAATTAAACTAAATTCATAGTCACATGCATTGATTGTAAATCGAACTCTCTCAGGTGTCCAACATACCTTCTCAGGCTATGTTTTCCTACTCTTCCCTACTGTTTGCCGTGAGTTGGGCTGAAATGACTGTGAAGGCATCAACTTCATGAAGACCCGTAGATTTTCTTGATATTGCTCTCTCATTTGGTCTTTGATAGTTGTTGCTTGCCAAAACTTCAAGCAACTCATAAGCCTCCTCTGGTGTCTTATTCTGCAAAACTCCTCCTGATGCTGCATCCACCATGGTTTGCACGTTACCCATCAGTCCATTGTAGAATGTTTGGACTTGAAGCCAGACTGGCAACCCATGGTGTGGACATTTCCTCATCAATTCCTTGTACCTTTCCCAAGCCTCATACAATGACTCGGATTCATCTTGTAAAAATGATGTGATATCATTTCTCAGTTTTGCTGATTTTGCTGGAGGAAAGAACTTGGTCAGGAACTTCTATGCTAAATCATTCCATGTTGTGATAGTTCCCAATGGTAGTGCCATTAACCACCCCTTAGCTTTATCCTCCAATGAGAATGGGAATAACCTTAACCTAATGGCGTCATCTGACACTCCGTTCGACTTGAAGGTGTCACAAATTTCCAAGAAGTTCGCAATATGCTGATCCGGATCTTCCTTCAAATCACCATTAAACCTTACCGACTGCTGGATCATCTGGATGATTGCCGGCTTTATCTCAAATGTGTTGGCTTGGACTGCTGGTCTCATAATGCTCGAACCACTGCCATTAACCGTGGGAACTAAGAATTCCTTTAGTGTCCTGTTTTCTGGTTCTGCCATTTCAACAGCTAATTCTTCTGATTCAACCACTATATCCTCTCTTTCTCTTCTCTCTCTATTAAGTCGTCTGGCGGTTCTCTCAATCTCAAGATCAACAGGAACTACTAGCTGACGTCTCGCTCTTCGCATAAACTGCACAAAATAAACGAAAGAAAGTGAGATCACAAACCAACTGAAAATTGAAAACAAAAATTAAAACTTTAATCTAGCTAACTATAGAAAAACTCAATGTTAACTTAAAACTCAATCTCCGGCAACGGCGCCAAAAACTTGATGCGTGTTTCTTACAACATGCAAATGTAGCAAGTATACTAGTCGCACAAGTAATAGAGTGATGAGTGAGTATAGTTCCCACGAGGATTGTTGCTAAGCACTAAGTTTTCTACCGTTTTCAAGTTGAAGCAATCGAATTGTTTTGGATTAAAGGGAGCAATTAAAACTATAACTGAAACAAAATTTACTAAAATAAAAGTAAACTATGAAAGCAAGATTTAAAAGGGGATAAAATCAATTCAAACAAACGGGTAGGGTTTTGACTTCATTCGGACTCTATGGGTTAAACCTAAGAATTAAACTAAATTCATATTTACACGCATTGATTTTAAATCGAACTCTCTAAAATGTCCAACATACATTCTCAGGCTATGTTTTCCTACTCTTCCCTATTAACCTTCCGCACCCAACAAATTGAAAGTTAATAAAACTGAGCTCATTAAGCACAAGAATCCTAGATTGATTTCATTGGTTCTTGAATCTATCTCTAGCATCTAATACTACAACGGTGAATACCCAAGAAGCCTAACATGATTCATTTCTCAATCTCATCATGTTCATCACATATAAACAATCAATTCAGAGTAATCACACAATCAATCACGTTCATATGAAAATAAAATCATTCAATCAATTAACCCATGAAATTCCGAACTACAATCATAACCCTAACCCAAATTAGGTTAGTTCATGTCTAAATCAATGAAACAATTAAAAGAAACAAAAAATTCCAAGTTCAACATCATGGACACAAGAGAAAGGGAAAAGAATCTATCCAATTGACGAATCCACTGGTTTCACCTCGAATCTTCACACTTTGTTTAATCCAAAATCACTCAACAATAAATCTAAGAAAATGTAAAAACTGTTGTCTATCTCTCCACGAACACCCTCAACAAAAAGACTAAGTATTTCTTTTATACCTCGCCCAAAATCCTAAAACTTAGCCTAAAAACGAAACTGTGCGTTTTACAAAAACTGGAAAATGCAGACTTCGCCGCAGCGAAGAAGGTATCTCGCCGCGGCGACAAAGGAGTTAAATCTGGTGCATGACTGGCTCATTTCGCCGCGACGAAGAACAACCTTCGCCGCAACGAAGCTTCCTGAAGAATTATGAAATTACAGAATTGCCTTCCACTTGCTTCTGAGTCCAGAAACTCCAAATCTGTCTTTATTGGCACAAAATGTCCATTTTAACCTGAAACACGAAATGTAAGGAATTAAGTAGCAATCCAGGCAAAAATAAACTAAGAAGTATCTAAAATCCGGCCTAAAAGCCTAAATAAACTAGTATAATCCTTGGATTATCAAATACCCCCAAACTAGGGACATGCTCGTCCCCGAGCATCAGGTACAAAACGAGATAAAAGAAAAACACAAACGTTCAAAAACACAAAACAGCAAATGACAAAAATTTAAAAAAAAGAAACAAGAGACTCGACTCACAAAACAACG